GCTGGGGTTACCCATTAAATGAAAAGCTTCAGTGCTTCATGAAGCTTCATCTGCCCATCACTAGTATATGGGACTTCTGGATAAATCTATGCATATAACAATGTAAACCAACCACCGTTCTTTTAAATCAAATTTCAACGCAGATGTGAGAAAGTTGATGAAGATTTATTCTTCTTTCACTGCGTCAGAGCTTCCTTTTTTTCTGTGATTTGTTGTTTTACTGTCATTATTAATCATTAGAATAGGAACAAGCTAGAAAACTTTACTAAGCAACAGTGTTGGACTTAGTGATGGGCAGATGAAGCTTCGAATCGTGGCAGCCCTAGCCACCAATTTACTCAAATTGACTTTACTAACCAGAAGCTTTTTATGCTCAGAATGGAATCGTCTGCAGTTTTCTTATTAATTAAAGACATAATAAACTTAGTGTATATGTACTCCTCAATTTGATGAAAGTGATAAAAAATAGACTGCTCTCTCTCTCTTTGTTCTGACATTTAACTAATTCAAAAGTTATTTCAATATTAATCTAAAACAAAAAAGTTTAATCTAAATTGATGTTCAACTTAACTCCTTTAAAGAAATAAAGTGTATGTAACTATGTGGTTTCAACTATGAATATAGTGAATTGAATTGAAAATTCTCTTATTTTGCACAGAAATATACTGAACAACATACAAAGCATAATATATAAAATAACATTTACCTGAGTTTTTCTCTTTGAAAGAACTCTCTAATGTCAATGTACATCAGTACATTACTGAAACTGATTTAGAGTGCTTTATTTAGCCGTGGAGGGAAACAACTGAAAATATGAAATAAACACACATGTAAGCTAAGACTCTCTAAAGAAACCAAACAGCATTGTTGTTGTTCGGCTTTTCATTTCGCCATTTGTTGATTCACTCGAAGAGCAAGTAACGTAATATGGGTCAAGTGATCAGTTTGATATCAATCTTTCGTGATACACCGTCATATTTACATTATTTGTACAGTACGAATGATTTGCTTTGGTATCTGGTTAAACTTAAGCTCTCCTCTGTCTGCGCTTCTCGCAGGCAGCAGCTTCTCCCCCCTCGCTCACATGCCCAGTGTCTGAGCTCGGATCATACCAAAAATAGGGGGAATTAACAGCAAGATGTTAATCTGAAAATTATGATCACCTCTGATCCACCACTGATCACACACACACTCAACTCTACTCACTCACCTGGAGGATCAACAACACTCAGTGTGATGATGCTGATGAGCTTCTCTTGGTTTATTCCTCTCTGAATGACACGGCACTCGTACGCTCCAGCGTCATTAATCGTCGCATCCTTCAGAATCAAAGACATGTCTCCATCCTTCATCTGTCTGTCCTGCAGATCCACCCGGTTCTTAAAAGATGGATGCTGGTTTGATAGAAGAAGTTGCTGACCGTGGTACTTCAGGACATTTTTTGTCTGTTATGTCAGATCTGCTCCATGTTACAGTGTCGATGGGCAGTGTTGGGAAGGTTACTTTTAAAATGTATTCCATTACAGAATACAGGATACATGCCTCAAAATGTATTCTGTAACGTATTCCGTTACGTTACTCAATGAGAGTAACGTATTCTGAATACTTTGGATTACTTAATATATTATCATGCTGTTTACA